AAACAACCATTGGGGGATGGCTTGGAGAGCTGGCGTGGATTCTACCAAAGCATTCGTCCTACACAGATGGGCTTATCACTCAACATTGGTGCGATGGCTTTCTGCATTACCATCATTCAGTTTTGTCATTCGTTCTACACTTATGGGCTTGTCACTTAAATTTTGCCTCTTTTTTTTTGTAGATATGTCATCTACAGCATTCATAGAGGCACTTCCTGTGACTGAATTTGTTTGCCAGTTGCTGAATCGGGATATTAGATCCCGCCCTTTATCTGATGCTGATCGTGTTAAGGTTTACTTCACTGTGTGATCGTATATTACTTGTTAAATGTTGCTAGATTTTATATTCTTGTTATCACTGTATGGTCGTCTGCTACTTGTTACTAGTGTTAATGCTTCTGTAGCTGAAGTGAAATATATTGTATTCTTAACCTTCATGTTTTTACTGATTTTAAATCTTGTTATGTTAACAGATAAAAAAGGCTCTTAGAGGTGTCAAAGTTGAAGTGACCCATCGAGGAAATATGCGCCGAAAGTACCGCATTTCTGGCTTGACTGCCGTGGCCACTCGAGAATTAACGTGCGTATTTTTTTTTTTTAGCTTTGCTAATTCATATTTCGTGAATGCTGAACCAGGAGAAGTTTATGTTTCTATTCTGTATTATACTTTTCAGATTTCCTGTGGATGAAAGAAACACCCAGAAATCTGTAGTAGAATACTTCTACGAAACATATGGTTTTCGCATTCAGCACACGCAGCTACCATGCTTGCAAGTTGGGAATTCTAACAGGCCAAATTACCTCCCGATGGAGGTACCTTTGAAATTTCATCATCAACTTTTGTTAGCTCACCTATACTTTCTGTGCTAATGTGCTGTTGTTGTACAGGTCTGCAAAATTGTTGAGGGTCAGAGATACTCAAAAAGGTTGAACGAGAGACAGATCACTGCTTTGCTGAAGGTGACTTGTCAGCGCCCCCTTGAACGAGAAAAAGATATCTTACGGGTATGTTTCTTTATGTAGGATATTTTTGTTTTCCTTTTTACTTGAATGTTCAAATTTCTTATTGCCAGTCATCTTGCAAGTTGTTTTGATAGATATTGCCAGATTCATTATGGATAGCTTAGAGCCTGTTTCTGCTTGCTTGGTTTTCCTTTGTAGATGTTGCCTTTAGTTGATAAATAGTGAGTCAGGTCGCATCTTCAGAGCTTTGCTCTTATTTGAGCTGCCTGCTTAACTTTTTTACAGTGAAATTTTGTGTAGATGTATATCCTCACTTGACCTTTTGTTAGCCTGTAGGTACAGAGTTCATATGTTGTTTAAGATAATGTTGTTTATTTCTAACATGATTTGATGTTTTCTGATTTCCTAGACGGTACAACTCAATGCTTATGATAAAGATCCCTATGCTAAGGAGTTTGGTATCAAGATAAGTGCGACCCTTGCTTCTGTTGAGGCTCGAATTCTGCCTCCTCCATGGGTATAGTATTTGTTTCTTTTGCTATTCCAATTCTCTTTTTGTTTCGTTATAACTAAATTAGAGTTACATATGCAGCTCAAGTATCATGAATCTGGAAGGGAAGGGACTTGTCTGCCACAAGTTGGTCAGTGGAATATGATGAACAAGGTAACTAGAGATGAAAGGGTAATTAATTTTTCGGCCTAGTGCTTGTGTATATTATGGTGATATGCTTGTGTGTGTGTGCAGAAAATGATAAATGGCGGAACAGTCAGTAACTGGATCTGCATCAACTTCTCTAGGCAAGTGCCGGAAAATCTAGCACGTACTTTCTGTCAGGAACTTGCTCAAATGTGCCACGTATCTGGCATGGTAAGCACAACATGATCAGTTTTCTATCCTTGAAATTTACTTGATCACTCTGAAACTTACTTGATTTCTTACATGCAGGCGTTTAATCCAGAACCAGTCCTCCCACCAGTCAGTGCTCGCCCTGAGCAAGTGGAAAAAGTCTTGAAGACTCGGTATCATGATGCCACGGCCAAGCTCGCTAAGGGAAAAGAGATTGATCTTCTTATTGTCATTCTGCCAGACAATAATGGATCATTATATGGTATGAGCCAGTTTCTAGGAAGCTTCAGTTGTCTGATTTTGCATATAAACAGGCTTCTTGATCGTTATATTTCTTCCAAACATCCATTGCAGGTGATCTGAAGCGCATCTGTGAGACCGAACTAGGCATCGTGTCTCAGTGCTGCCTGACTAAGCATGTTTTTAAGATGAGCAAACAGTATATGGCCAACGTGGCTCTGAAGATTAATGTCAAAGTTGGAGGAAGGAATACAGTGCTTGTTGATGCCTTATCAAGGCGAATCCCTCTAGTCAGTGATCGCCCCACCATTATATTTGGCGCTGATGTAACCCATCCTCATCCAGGAGAGGATTCGAGCCCGTCCATTGCTGCTGTAAGACTCTTTCATTATTTAGTTCTGTGAAATGTATACTTTATTTTTTTCCATGGCGTTGACCTAGTGTGATTTCTTCGTTTGACAATCGAAATTTGTTCTTCAGGTTGTCGCGTCCCAGGACTGGCCTGAAATCACCAAATATGCTGGATTGGTTTGTGCTCAAGCGCATAGACAGGAGCTCATTCAGGATCTGTTCAAAGAATGGAAGGATCCTCAGAAAGGGGTGGTGACTGGTGGCATGATAAAGTACGTCTGTTATTATTAACTTTACTTTTAATCTGTATGTAATCAAAGCTTGATCTCAAGTAACAGATGTATAATCTTTTTCCCTTTGAAACAGGGAGTTGCTGATAGCCTTCCGTAAATCAACTGGGCATAAGCCGTTGAGGATCATTTTCTACAGGTATGAGCCTGTTCTTTTAGCGAATACTTAATCTAATACAACTGTGTATCTTTCTCACTAAAGATTTATTATATGGTGATATGCCATGCCACAGGGATGGAGTTAGTGAAGGACAGTTTTATCAGGTTTTGCTCTATGAGCTTGACGCCATCCGCAAGGTAAGAGTTACTTCAAACAAATGCCGCCTTGTGTTGGGTGTGGATTGTTGTCTTATGTTTAATCTGATTTTTGATGCCAACCATTTCAGGCATGTGCTTCGCTGGAAGCAGGTTATCAGCCTCCAGTCACGTTTGTGGTGGTGCAGAAGCGCCATCACACGAGGCTGTTTGCTCACAACCACCAAGATCGTAATTCTGTGGATAGAAGTGGAAACATTTTACCTGGTGAGACTATGTTTGGATTGGTGTGAAGCTTTTTTTGCGTGCACATTTAATCCCTTGAAGTGGTTTTAAAACTTTGTCGAATGCTTTGTCTGTAGGCACTGTTGTGGACTCCAAAATCTGTCATCCTACAGAGTTCGACTTTTATCTCTGTAGCCATGCTGGTATTCAGGTAAATCTTTATATATAGGAAAAATAATCTATAATTTCAAGTGATTGTGTGGTTGAGATTTTATGAAGTGCTCAAAATCAAAATTTGATGAACAGGGCACTTCTCGACCTGCTCACTACCACGTTCTTTGGGATGAGAACAACTTCAGTGCCGATGGACTCCAATCTCTGACCAATAACCTATGTTACACGTAAGATTTGGTCTTTGTCACATGTCGTTATTATCTTACAATTGAAACCGATGTAGACTGATAAAACATTTACATTACTTTCTGAGCTGTGTAGGTATGCAAGATGCACCCGTTCTGTATCAATTGGTGAGTTTTTTTTCTTCTTTTATCTTAATGAGATAGATTTTAACGGTACAGTTTTTTGATATTTAGAACTGGATAAGTTGGTAATGAGTTCTTTGTTTTGTTGGGATAATGTAGTGCCACCTGCGTACTATGCACATCTAGCAGCGTTCAGGGCTCGGTTCTACATGGAGCCAGAGACTTCAGACAGTGGTTCGATGGCTAGCGGGAGCATGGCACGTGGAGGTGGTATGGGCGGTAGAAACACACGTGGGCCTAACGTGAACGCTGCAGTGAGACCACTCCCACCACTGAAAGATAATGTGAAGCGTGTCATGTTCTATTGCTGATTCAGTCCAGCTCTCTATCTCTTTGATCTCCTAATTATATTATGGCTCTATCGCCATATAAATGTGAACCATGTTTATTGCTTTCTAAGACTTTTGTTTATGTCTACTTATCTCGTGTGTTGTGTACTTGCTAAATTTGTCACTTGTTTGCGAGTGTTTGGGTATCTGATGTTTTGCTACTCTATAGCTTTATGACTATGAGTATGAGCTGCCTTATGGTTTGTAGTTATATTTATAAGGGATTATTATTATTGTGTTAAATGACTTTAATTTTTTCTTCTTACAAACAGTTTAGATGACTTTTGTTCTTTATAATTCTGCTAGAAGGGGTTTCCAACACAACTCAGGGATCGTCGGAGCACGTTGACTTCCCTTCAACAGAATGCAAACTTTTAAGTATCAACGTGAACGTAGTTGAACGTGATCTTAAATTTTATTATACGTAAATACGTAATGAATCTCTATCATAATATAAAATCTGTATTCAAGATTTTTATTTTTGCTCAAATGTAGGGACACTACATGGCGAATATAAGCTTCGAGATCAAATAGACTAAAGTTGAAACAATACACTACGTAACACAAAAACTAAACACAAGTAACAAGTTCTATGCTCTCGTATTGGGCGGAATAAATAATGGGCTTGGAGTTATATAGGCTTTAGACGCATGTGTTTGAAATTCGAATAGTGGAAAATTTACAAAATTTGAATTAGGCGGATTTTACTGCTGCTTTTATGCTCTCTGCTAATTCAACTAATCTCCAAATTCCTCATGCTTTTCTGGATATTTGTAGCAGTTATTGCATTCTTCAAAGTCCATCAATCTCCATATCATCATCTCACTGATTCATGCGTTTGCTATTCTTTCATTCTAATTTCCATAATGGTTTTTGATCTTCCTTAAAAAGCTCCCCTGTTTCCTCTGCCAACACCGTAATCACCAAAACTGATCCTTTCGATCTGAAGACAGAATCCATGGATGCCTCTCAGCCTCCTCTTCTTCAGTTGCCATCTCTCTCTGGTACACAAATCTTCCTTTTCAAAACTTTCTGTGTTTGTCTCTCTCTCTCTTTCTATGTGTATGTTTACTTTTGTTTAAAAATGTTGGTCAATGAACACAGAGCTTGAGTCTCGGATGCAAGTAATGCGCGTCTCTGCTCTTGAAGAAAACCAAACCGGTGAAACATATTCACAGAGAGCTGAATGGTTTTACCAGAGACGTGCTCTCCTTCTCTCCCTCTGTCAAGATCTCTACGATGGTTACGCCACTCTCTTGGACCGTTACAATCACTCCAAACCACAAAACCCTAAACCCATTTCTCAAGACAATGATTCCACCAATGATACTGACATCAGTTCCGAAGTCGAGAGCATCTTGTCCTTTCAACAGATGCAAATCACCACTTGTGATAAGCAGCAGAACACTGACGAGTTAGCCTCGCAGCTCGTGACTGCAAACTTGGAGAAAGATATCGCTCAGGACGAGTTGCGTCGCAGAGAACAAAAGCTCCAAGAAGCTTTCAAGACGATTGAATTGCTAAAGAAGCTTGTGATGCTTCTTGACATGGAGAAAGAAGTAGCTGTAGAGGAAACAGCGAATCTTGGATACAAACTCGCTTCTCTCTTGGAAGAGAACAGAGAGCTCGCCACTGAAGTGCTGTTCATGAAAAAGGAATCAGTGAGGCTTGCTAGGTGCGTGCTTAAGATGAGGGACGAACATTTTCACAAGGTGTGTCTTCTACAGAGCCAAATCTACTCGATGCAGTCATCGAGAGAGTCTGCTCACGAAAATGTATCCCCGGCAAGCTGCTTCGGATTGGATAACAATAAGAGCAAGAAGAGAAAGATGAGCGAAACAAGAACAGAACATGGTGAGAAAAAGAGAAAATCAAAGTGGTTGAAGAGGCTCAATCCGTTTACCAAAATGCAGCATTAGCCCATCGTCTGCTCTGAACTCTGAAGTCTAAACTAGTTTCTCTTTACATTGCATTTTGCATACTCTATCTACCTTGTTGAACATAGGGGTGTTCAACGAACCTAGTATAAATCCAGTTGCATTTCTTTAATTCATGTTTCCTCCAAGTGCTGCGAAATCTGTTTTGATTCAGCTACTTGATGTAAATTTATCAGTTCTGGCTAAGTTTCATAGTTTGTTACCTCATTGGAATGTGTGAGAAACATATACGACATTCTCTTTCATATCTAGCGTACCCTGCAACATAGGATGATTTGACTGAAGAACTCAAGCTAGACATATATGCGTAGAGAAGGATGCAACAAGTTAGGCATAATATTCAAGTGAGGAATATAATGGATGATAAACTGAGATTAGGATACAATTCTGATTAGCCTTACTATTAGTGGTAGCTACTCGAATAAGAAGATCAAACAATATGAAATTCAACTACATAATCATATACAGAGGCTTTCATTGAGATCTAATCCTGAAGCTACCTCTTCTGCAATCATCACTATAAATGAGAAATCTTCAACATCTGGGTCAAAGTAAAGACTCAACCTTTCGTACGCAAAGACAATGTTGAGATCGAAAGGAAGATTCTTTTTTTCACGGGTTTCAGAGAGATAGAGATCGAAGCTCAGAAATGAATCAAAGAGAGAAAATGGATTCTTTTTGTTAATGCCGTTTTTTTTTTTTTTTTGTTTTTTGTGTTTTATGTTAAATTGACAGAGACATAACATAAAAGTGGAGAAGACGAAGACCCACTAAAGCTTTTAGAATTGAGAGAGAGAGTACGTAGTAGTAGAAGAAGCAGTAATGGTACGAGCTTCATCGTCGAAGAAAGGAGGCGGAGGAGATAAAGACGATGCAGAATCGAAACAGAGAAAGAAATTAAAAACCCTAGCTCTCGACAACAATCTGCTCTCCGATTCTCCGGCGAGATGCGTTTCCTCTCTCAAACCTTCCAAGCAAGTGCTGAAACATCACGGCACCGACATCATCCGCAAGTCGCAGCGCAAGAATCGATTTCTCTTCTCCTTCCCTGGTCTTCTCGCTCCGATCTCCGGCGCCACCATCGGTGATCTCGATCGGTTGTCTACCAAAAACCCCGTCCTCTACCTCAATTTCCCTCAGGTTAGTTTTTCCTAAGCGTAATTGTTCAATACGTTTCTCAATGTTGAGGCGTTGCTACTTCTGTGTTCTTAATCTTTATAATTGTGGTTCTTCTTAGGGTCGCATGAAACTTTTTGGAACGATTTTGTATCCCAAGAACAGATACTTGACTCTCCAATTCTCCAGAGGAGGCAAAAACGTCTTATGTGATGACTATTTTGATAATATGGTCAGTCTCTTCTGCTTCCCACTACTATAACAGTTTTTTCTCTCTCTCTCTATCTCTCTTTATCTCTGTATCTTGAGGATTTGGTTATGCACACAGATTGTATTCTCTGAATCATGGTGGATTGGGACAAAAGAAGAAAACCCTGAAGAAGCCCGCCTTGATTTCCCTAAAGAACTGTCTCAGGTTGATACATTTTAGCTAATTTTAGATTTTCCCAAGTCTAGTTGCCACAGAGATAAGATGTTCATATGGTAAGAGAACTTTTTGTTTCAGGCAGAGCAAACGGAGTTTGATTTCCGAGGCGGTGCAGGGGCAGCAGCTTCGGTCAAGACGCTGGCGACTCCTGAAACTGGTAGCCAACCAACAGAGACAGACTCACCTGAGGTTGAAATGGAGGAAGTTTTATCCGAAGATGGAGAGTTTCTTGACGATAAGATTCAAGTTACACCAGTTCAAGTAACACCAGTTCGACAATCCCAGAGAAATTCTGGGAAGAAATTCAAGTAATGATCCTTTCAACTTCTTCACTTAAAACACACTCTTTCAAGCTGGTGACTATAAACAAGTATCTGCAGTGGACTTTGATGAGTTGCTAGATTCCTTCCAGGGAATTTTTTGCTGTTCATTTAATTTGTAATTATCTCTAATGATGCTGTCTAGTTTTTTTTTTTGGTGTTTATACATTTGCCTTTCTAAGTTCTTTATTATTCTGTCGATGAGCTATGTAAGTGATACCAGGTCTAACAGCCTTTCTTTCAAACGATGCCCACAGTTTTGCAGAAGCCTCTCCAGAAGACTCCTCAGATACAAGTGATGGCAATACATCTGATGAAGGAGATGAGAAACCTCTTCTGAAACCTGATTCATCAACAAGAGGTCGTGAGGACTTTCAAGCTGGTACTAGTACTACTGCATCAGCAGGCAAGTTGCTTACCGAACATCCGGCTAAAAAGGAAAAATCAAACAGCAGAGACGGTAAGCTCGTTCAAGCTACAGTCGCCAACCTATTCAAGAAAGCAGAGAAGAAAACAGCTGGTACTTCAAAGGAGAAATCATCCTCAAAGGCTTAAAGAAGTAAGAACTATGTTTCCAGAAGAAATAGAGGTCTGTTGTTTCTTTGGCTGTTAGGAACGAGAACGAACAGTTTCTTGCTCATTTAGTAATGTTCTGTGAGAGATATGAGAAATTGCTTCAAGACCGTTGATTATGTTGCATAAAAACAAGAAAAGGATTATGAATTCATCATGCTTTGGATAGTATGTTTTCGCCGAGCTATGTATAAAGCCTGTTTGCGCATTTTAATACAACAAACCGTGTCTCATCTATCTATACGAGTGACCAAGGAAATACACCTTTTTATCATTGTTTTCAAAACTGAAACATCATTACACTTTTCTTCTCAGCAGATCCATCTCATTGGGCTTAACAAAAAAAACTAAGAGGATCCTTGGAGGAACTTGTCCACTCTATGATTAGTTGCAGAAGAGAGAAACTTCATGCAAATAGGAGGTTTAACTCCAGCTATAGCAAGCACTGAGCTTGGCAGTGTCCAAATCCCATCTCCACATATCAAACCAGAAGCCACTACTGTTGCAAAAGCTTCAGCCTTTGCTGCATCTAACCTCTCCCAGACAAACAAAATCAAACTCCCCACACACATGTCAATTGCAAAGTAAGGCCCCAAGAAAAACGGTATAGCCATTGCCATGGGAAGAGGAACAAACCTTCCCCATCTGTCCCCAAGACCGTCTCTTACTAAGTTAATGAAGATGGCTACACCGAAAAACGCGTAGCACAGCACAAGACAATCTCTTGGTAGAGACGAAACACCTTCAACCCCGAGCTTCGCCATACTCCGATACACAGTAGCAAACGGTGCAGGGTATCTGCTGCTTGGGAGGCCGAGATCATCAAACGCCTCGTAGAAAAGCCAGAACACGCATGGCGAAACCAGACATCCCATTGCTGTTCCAATCACTTGGCTCACAAACATGGCCCTTGGAGATGACAATGTTAGGTAACCGGTCTTGAAATCCTGCGTCAGGTCTGAAGCTGTAGATACAATGTTCATCATAACTCCACAAGCCGCTAAGCCTGCAAGCAGACCTCCATGGTCTGAACCAGCCCATGCTCCGATTGTGAAAATTGCGAGTTTTCCATAGGTTGATGCTAGTGACCAATCGGTGAGCCCGGCTCCATAAGCATTGCAGAAAGCTAAGACAGGGGCAAAGACATAGATGACCAGAATGTAGTACCATCTCAACTGAGGAAACATTTGAGGGAGTATAGCTGTAGATGCTGCAGCTATAGCCACATACCCTACACCAGCCAACCATGAAGGTATTTGGTCTTTAAGGAAGAATCTTGTTCTACGTTGGTCGTCATAAGATACCTTTGGGGTCAATGGAGAAGCAGGAGGTTCTTCTTCGTGTGAAAGAGAGGTTCTCGAACCAGCTTTACCTCGGATCTGCGATGATAGCCCTGAAAGGGTTCGGCTCAACACCTTGCAAAAGTTGTATACACCATCTCCTAGGATCATAGCAACAGCTATGAACACCTGAAGAAGCGAAAGAACAACTGATTCAGCAAAATCGGCGTATAAAGAAAGTGAGTGATGGGAGGATTTTACCTTGTAAGCTTGGAGACCGTTCATGCTGCTAGAGTCAACATTAGAAGGGAACCAATCTCCTTTTTTGGTTTCAATGAGAGGCCACATTAGTCCCCAAGAGAGAATTCCACCCAAAAGGAGAGAAATGTTGATTATGTACGGGCATATCATACCAACACCCACATATGTTGCTGAAAAATCAAAGTAGAACCTGTCGAGACAACAAACCAGCTTATGAGCCAAAGATAAGACAACAAGCCAGTTTATGAGCCAAAAGACAATGCGTCAGGGAATATGATTATGCTTACTTATATTGGTAAGCTCTGAGTCCAAAGGTAGGGAAGTTGTGAAACCCACAATTGTCTCCTCCAGTAAAGAACCATTGGAAGAAACCCCAAAAGAAGCTGAAGGAGAAGAATTTCCCCAACACTCGCACTTGTTTCCTGATACATAGAGCACAAGTCAGTAAGCACTAGTAAGCAAATGTAGGTTAAGCTACACAAATGAAAGTCTCATACTTGGCTAGCTTTGCCCCTTGAGGAGTATGAAAGCTGTTGATAAGATGAGCAGTTGCAGTGCCACTTGGGTATGTTAGTTTGAAGTCTATTATCATTATCTACAAACACAAATTGGTAACTGTAAGATCTTGCATCAGCAAATAGTCCACATTTGGGTTTCCACAGACGAAGAAAAAGCAGAAACCAAACCTTTCGAAGAGGAACAACCGAGAAGAGACCAAGAAAGCTGACAACAAAGAGAAAAGCTATAATCCAACCCAAAGAAGGGTCCTTAACGCCACGGGCAACATCTCCTGACTGGATAGCTATTCGTTCGCTCATTGCAAATAGGTACGTCCCAAATCCTCCTGTTGCAATTTAATTTAATAAACAAAGAAGAAATTAGGGGCAGGTGAATTATGTGTGAAGAAGACCTCAAAGATTTTGACTTTTTTTATAAAAAAGGTCAGAAATCAAGAAAAAACACCAATTTTGATTCAAAAGTTTGAGATTTTTGAGATGGATTTTTTGTTTTGTTTTGTTTCTATTACCGCTAAAAGCAATGCCTGAAGAAGCAACTACACATGTCTGAATAACTGTGTTCTCTTGTCTGGTAAAGGGCTGTTTCAAAAGACCAGATTTATGAAGCATCTTAGTCCATGTCTTGACGAAGAAGAAGCCCAGAAGACCAGCAGAGACATTAAGCGAAGGGATGATTCCTGTTGTGAGGTTAAGCTTCATAACGATGAAGCTAAACAAGATGCTTAACGCAAAGCTAACCACAAAAGCCCTAATCGTTAACTGCTTCTTCCACGAAGGAACCTCTCTGCTCTCGAATATACCCTCCACAGATTCTTCTTCCTCTTCTTCGTCTTCATCTTGGTGTTGTCTTTGGCGTTCTCTAACATTATTGTTCCTCCTAACTCTCTCTGTGTGAGGACTAAAAGGAGTTTCCTGCATCTCATGCTCCTCAATCTGACGATCTCTGTCAGGGGTTAAATCTCCATTTCTCATCGTTTTCTATAAACCTCTCTCTTTCTTTTAGATCTGCGAGATGAGAGAGATGGTGAAGACAAAGAAGAGAAAGAAGTAGATGTCACAAAAAAAAAGGAGAAAAGGAAGTAATAATATTGTAAATAAGGACAAAAGAAGATTTTTCAGCGTTCGAGAGGAGTCAACTCAAGGACTTCTTCGTCTCTCTCATCAGACATCATCAGATATGGTGAACATAGTTTAACTACTTTTTACTTGAGGCTCTTGTTGTCTGAAATCTGTAAATAATCCTTTGTTGGTGACTCACCATTTTGAATATCGTAATTTGGTTGTCCATTGGTTTAATTACTAATTAGGATTAGCCTTCTAACTATTTTTAACTTGTCTATGAATGGATTTAATTACCTAGACAATATATTTCTCATTCACTAATTACTAAAATATTAGAACGAAATATTTTAAAGAGTGAATTAGGCAAATAAACCAAATGAGCAACGAAATTAGGTAAATGACCAAGGCCCACAAACAAATATTAACACTGTTTTTGGTCATCGGCAATGACATTTTTGCCCCCCGATATTTTTACCAAAACGAGACATGAACAAAGCCTTCTGACGGTAAGTACAATCGATAGGGTGGCTAGAGATATTTGCTAGACTAGGGGCGATATTCCTGCGTAAACGAGGGCCACATATTTTTTTCCCGCCGAAGAAGCATTAAATGCAAGGGTATGCTGAAGATTGCTTCGACAATTGGGCTTATATGTGATGTATGCGTATAAGTATAGGACACTAGGGTTTGTTAACCTGCTATATAAGGAGTTATCGTTGTCAATTGAGAAACGTCACTGTTAAACTTCAAGAGAAAAAAACGCACCGAGTAAAAAGCAGATAAATCCAGAGTTTCCGTTGAAGAAATAGTTGACTCTCATCCAAAAGAAGGTAAGATCACGTGCTCTTAGATCGTATGTAATGGAGGTCCTACATTTATTGTTGGGTTGTATATCTGGAAAGATTGCTTTTATTACAACACTTATTGAATCCTCGTACAACTTTAATGTTACCAGTGATAGTCTAGTAAATGTGTTAGTGATTATGTACTAAAAACTAGTGTATGACTCGTTATGAATGTCTCTACATCCTATTGTGGTCTCTAACAGTTTTGTTTTCTCGGTAACCAGCCAGAAAAATGGGCCGTGTTGTGAGCTTTGTTCGAGGAGTGTGGAAGAAAACCGCGAATGGGGAATGGGATTTTCAAGAAGATTCGGCGGAGACTGTGTACGGGATGATAGTGCAAGAAAACGAAACGTTCGAGTCGCTGGACGGAATGGTGAGGGAGCGCTACAAAATTTCAAGGTATGAAATGATAGCGCTGACCTACAAACTACCGGAGGCTATGGTGGGTCCTTTGGGGAAAAAAGCTGCGCCACAGGACATCGCAACCACGGCGGACGTGGAGCTATTCATGGCCGTCAAAGTTGATTTTGATTCGCTTGCAATCTATGTGACTCTCGGGGTTTATAATGTCGAGCGTTATAAGTTTCAGAAGCGACACAACCTAGCGGTTGGAGGTCCACCTCCGGGGTTTGAAGGTGTTCAGCCAACTTTGCCCCGCTCATTTCCTGCGTGTACCGGTAATCATTTTGTTAACGTCAAATAGGAAAAGATAACTGATATGACTTGCGGTGGACTTGACGATGTTAAAAATTTTTGGGAAGGGGTTGTCGAGGGTCCTATATTCCGTGTAGCAGATGATGCCGCAAAAGAAATTTTCACGGCCGAGGAGAGGCGTTTCCTGGAGGAGATACATGAGGCTATGACCCGCATGGAGTCCTCTTACGGGGTGCCCGTGGGTGGGGGACACAGCTCGTCTAGCAACTCCTCGGGGGATCTGTGTTTGATGCTCCCAGATACAAGCTTGAACATCACAACAATCGGAAATGTAGACGGCGACCCTGACACCGTTATACAGCCGTCCGGTGTTACATCGGGGGTTCAACACCTCTCCATACGACCTCTAACATGTGAAGGTAGAGATCTACGCATATCATTAGCGGGTATGTTATTCATGTGCATCGTCAAATACATGACTAACGCTTGTCGAATATTTTACCAAACCAGGACTTCCTAACTCGGCGATTTCGTTGGGCTCAACAAGTGAGGGGAAGAGGCCAGCAATAGCCTGACTGATAAAGGCAAAACTAAAATCGGCCAAGATATCAACGAGGATCCGTTCTTGGGTTTGTCTATGCATTGCAATGGAGGTCCTAGTGGGTTTGTCTATACTCGCTAACTTATGTGTTAGATCTCCAACAGTCAACGAGCCTAGTTAACATACGTATTATACATTATAGGGGATGGTGTTAACAAACCAGGCGTCCTCTACGTGGGGATGGTCTTCAGAGACCAAGACGCGTTCAAGCTCCATATGTCGTTATACGCCATGGCCAAAAAGTTCCAATACTTTACCCGAAAATCGACACCAAGCAGGATGGACTTGGAATGTGTCGGGCAAAACTGCCCATGGAGGGTGTACGCTGTAAGGATGGAAGGGATAGAGTGGTTCCAGATCAGACGTGCCCGGCTTGACCACAACTGTACCATTGACGAGCGTGGCCGCTTTCATGTGCAAGCTAAGACAAGTGTGATTGGAGATTTGTTCAAAAACAAATACGCCAGTGGTGTCGGACCCCGACCTAATGAACTACGGGAGCTTATGCGTGATGATCATGACGTCCCAATATCATACTGGAAGGCGTGGAGGTCTAGAGATTTAGCAAGGGGCACAGGGTTGGGAACTGCTGGCAATTCTTACAAGGTGCTACCCATCTACCTACAGCGCTTGGTTATGTCAAACCCCGGTACAGTTGTTTCCCTAGAAACGGATTACGATGAGGGAGTGGGCCAAAGGTTCAAATATCTGTTCTTCACCTTGGGGGCATGCCTCAATGGTTATCCCTATATGCACAAAGTCCTCATAATCGACGGCGCCCACCTTAAAGGAAAGTACACAGGCTGCCTGCTCACCGCGAGTTGTCAAGACAGAAACTACCAGCTTTACCCAGTAGCTTTTGGGATAGTGGATGGAGAGAACGACAAGGCATGGAGTTGGTTTTTCCGGAAGTTGCAGGAAGTGGTGCCGGACAGCCATGATCTCGTTTTTGTGTCTGACCGGCATAACTCGATCTTTGCCAGCCTGCGAAAGGTATTACACTTTAATCTGCAGTTTTATATATGCATATTATTGTTTGGTGAGTTAACAATTATAGTATCGCGATAATAGTTTCTGTAGTTGGATAAACATCTAACTGCCTGTTTAACATGCATGGGTCTTTTAATAATGAGTTGTTTGTTTCATATTAATGGTGCGTTAACACCTATAGTACCGCGTTAATAGTTCGTGTATATGGGTAAATATTTTGGTGGTAAGTTGTTTGCTTCCGGTTAATATGTGTTCTCATTTTGATAGTGTCTCATACCATTGATAACAAATATGTTATCCCGTTAATATATATTTTCCTTATCGAAACATATAAGTGACTGCTTGTGATGCACAGGTTTATTGATAATGAGATAATTGCTTCTCGTTGATAAACCTTTTAAATGTGTACCCATAGTGTTAGCGTCCTAAATACTAGTGATAAGTGGCTTGAGGCTAAAAATGCTGTATCAATGTGATTAGGTGTATCCAATGGCACAGCACAGTGCTTGTGTTGTGCATCTCCAGCGTAACGTCCAGTCGATCTTCAAGAAGAAGCATCTCAGCTATTTGGTGTCTCAAGCTGCGAGAGCTTACCTACCTTCCCAATTCTATGAACTATTGACCAAATTCGAGCTGTGGACTCAGGTTGTGCGGACTATTTGACAGCTATTGGATTCGAACATTGGACGAGGGCTCACTTCAACGGTCTCCGGTACATCATCATGACCAGAAATGTAGCTGAATCCCTCAACAATGTGCTCGCAGCTGCACGGAATTACCCAATTGTGCCATTGATCGAGTACATTAGGGCAACTCTGATGGGTTGGTTTAACACTCGTCGTACCCTCGCTTCGGAGACAAGTAACACGCTAACCCCAAAGGTAGAGGAGATCCTAGCTACTAACTTTGAACTGTCAACAGGGTTTTCGTTCCGTCGGATAAATCAAGATGAATTCGAGGTCCGGAACAAAGAGGGTGTTCCTTTCCTAGTTAACCTGGAGACGCAGGCATGTAGCTGTCATGAATTCCAGATGTTGCGGATCCCTTGCTGCCATGCTATAGTCGCAGCTTTGAGATCTGAGACAAGGGTTGACTCATTGGTTGGAATTGAATACACCACAGCTTTTTGGAACAAGGCCTACGAGTGCAGCATCTACCCCGTAACAATGTCTGCGCCAACTCTTCCCGTAGGCGACGACTTCTCATCTCTTAACCTGAAGCCACCTAACACCCGCCGCCCGCCTGGGAGGCCTCGCAAAACGCGCATCCGCTCTCGTGGAGAATTTGGGGTAACTTTTTATTATCGACTCCCTTATTGTTCAGTTTACCTGTGTAGCTGTCAGAGTTAGTTAACTAACATTCGTATTACTTTGTTACAGGGGGGATTACCGAGGCGTTTAAACATCTGTGGTCGATGTGGTAGCTTCGGCCATAACCGTGCCTCTTGTAAGATGCCGATATAGCTATGGGGATGTTGAATGGGGGCAACGGATTTCATGCAGTTGGTTCCTTTTTGTTGAGCTGCATAAACCGACACTATGTTGGTTTCAATTACTTTCTGTTTTTAATATGTTTCGTGTATTAATGAACCCAAGTAAACTCCTCTCTAAGTTTCTGTAAAATATGTTTGTAAGATGATCTATTCTGTTGCCCCAGCTATAAAGTATTGTTGTTTACTATGCCTGTCCACTTTTTTATCTAGTTGTTGACATTCCATCACCCTAAAATCAACCAAACTTAGGCACAGAAATTCCAAGTTAACATTGGCATTACCTGCTCTAACGTATAAATTGTCTGATGTTGGTTTAGTCTATTGGTCTAACATTCTTATTTCCGGTTTAAAAAACATGTTATCTTATCATTTAAGTTTGCTATATACCTACATTTCAAATAATCGACAAATGTTAACATACGTAAATTAGAAAATGGTTTGCATGGCCAAAGAATAAATATGGGACAAAATCAACAAAGTCTTGAAAGGAAAAGAAGAAAATCAAACAGTAAACATAAAAACAAATGTCTTCTGAAAAACTTAAGAGCCAAAAACCACTCACCATTCGGAGACATTTAGCGATGTAAGCACGAGCTAACAAAGTTATAACAGATGTAAGCATAAGCTAACAAAGTTGTTCACATGTCCACAACTAAAGTTACACAATATCACCAAACGTTACATCTAACAAGACATATATCGAACTATAACGAGATGTAGTTGCCCTCATCATCGGATAGTTCCTCTTTATCCACCATCACCGGCGGAGCCGGCTGGTTCCTGCCTTCACCGGCGCAAGTCGTAGTCAAACCGAGGAAAGGGCCGTCGTCAGCTTCCATGCCCATTTTTTTTTCCCCTTTATCAGCATCGGTGGGGATGGGGTCCACGAGTATTATCCCTTGGTTAGAGTTCGATAACCCCGTTTCAGGGAGGAGAAGGTCGAACTCGGCAGAGGAGGACTTCGTTGATCCGCCATCATCTTTTCCCGCCGGTCGACGAGAAGCCTCCAGTTGAGTGAGTGCGTTATGGGCATCCAGGATGACACGCTGTTCGTCCTCCGTGAAGATCTCGTGGAAGACACTTTCAGCAATTTGCACGGTCGGTCCCTTGATGAGCTCTTCACAAAAGTTGTTAACATCAACAAGTCCACCAAAAAGTATCATCAGTTAACCTTTTTATTTCAACGCTAATAAAACGTTTATCAATGTTACCAGAAAGGTTACCCAATAACGCCTGATTTGTACGGATAATGCCAAGAGGCGGACCGGTAACTTGATCAGTAGACCTTTGCATTGAAAGGTAACGCTGAACATTCTCTTCTCCCATGGTCACACAAATGGCGAGAGTCTCCACCTCGACGCGCAAAGCCATGAAGAGGTCGACATCGCCGTTGTTGATGATGTCGAAAGGGGCTGCCTTGCGTCCTTGTGGCACAGACGAGCTTGTTGGGAGTTGATAAGTCATTGCCATCATCGTGTGTGGATGGAGACTGAACCGAGCTCTCATCATTCCGTCTAGTGACTCGAAGGTTTCCCGTTCAATCACCATTAGTCCGTACCCTCCGTCGTTGGTGTCGGTCTCGAAATCCCACTCTCCATTCGGAGATCGGTTCCACACTCCTTTAGAATATTTCACCATATAACCCATTTTCCTTTTCCTGAAATAGAAGCATGACGAAGCTTTAGTACTATATCCATATATAATCCGACCATGAAATTACTCTAAAATCAAAGCAACAAAGCATTTATTTTGGTCCGAGGGATGAAAACTTAAGAGATCTGCATTTAAAACTACATGTTCACTGTCAAGAACATAACCAAAAGAGACAACGACATAAACGCACAAACAAAGCTAGATACAGTGGTCCTACCTTGTTTCCTCGCACGGAACTTGACTTCTGTAGTTTTGTTGGCACGACCTAAATTTTTTCTCTCCTACTTTCTGTTTGCAGGTCTAACAATGGCGTGGTATGGGCTCAAGCTGCTAATACATTATATAGCGGAGCAACTGAGCAGTATAACCTATACATACGGACATATAGCGATATGGCGCAGAGGTCAATGAGATCTATCACACATCTCTGCATTAAATGCTTTATTCGCGCGGAAAGCAACGAGTGGTCCATATTGCAGCTCGCAGGATTTTGGTAGATATTTTCACATCTACTTACAGGGGGTCCACAACGTTGTGGGACCTTATTTAACTCCTCAATTTACACTCATTCCATGAATATCTCACTTAAAACTCTTATATGTTAACATACGTAAATTAAAAAATGTTTTGCATGGCCAATGAATAAGCATGTGATAAATTCAACAAAGTCTTTAAACGAAAAGAAGAAAATAAACAAGTAAACATAAAAAACAGACTTTTAGCAAACTGTTAATACATGCAACCCTTTGGCTTACGCTGGAGCATCAAACTCCTCGAAAAACTTAACAGCTAAAACCTGACTCTCTTTGGCCATCTCCTCGGGAGTGAGCATCTTGCATCGGTCAATTACTCCAACCGAGTGTAACATTATAAGCAGGGCAGTTGTGACACCAGAATCGCACATGATGCCGTTCTGTGGGATCCCTTTAGGCCGAACGATAACGTAAGGTTTAGACTCGCTAATACGTTGTTTGGATGGACTTTGCTTTAGTACGTACGGTAACATCATTGATATGGGGGCCAGCTCCTTTTTTATAGCGCTATCAGTCCTCAATGAGAGGTTGCAATCCAGCACGTGCATACTCCCAGCAGTTGTGTCAACAACTATGCCAACCCAGTGCTCCCTATCAAAGTTGAACGGCAAATACAAACGCTCCGGCGTAGGGATCTCTACGCTGTCCACCTCAAGGTGATCCATGACACCATCCCCAAATTTGAACCTATGACGGTCTTTGACAGCCAAACGTGAAAACTTACTCCAGGTCTTCATCAGTGCAGTCGTGAATTTGGTTTCAAGAAACGCCGTCTTGTTCAAATGAGACTCCGAAAAATGTCGGACATAGACAGCGCGGGCGTATAGGAGAAGCGCGTCCATCATCTAGATACAACAAAAACGATTAGTTCTACATAAATTATTGTCTCTACAATGTTATTTTACATATCCAAACATCTAGACAATTAACTGAAAACTTATGAACATAGTTATGTGACTATACATCTAACCCCTTAGTTATCTGATATTACTTTTGTTAGACGTTATAATATCGTGGATAAAGTCGAACGATGGTGGAAAGAAGGCATTACCTTAGCCATCATGGGCTTTGTCCTACCAGCTATGTCTAGAACGTCCTTGTTGTTAACAGATGTGCCACTGCCAAGATTGAATACCCTACATACGGAGACAAACTTTCACACACAAAACTCGTTGTAACATTACAGTGCAAAACATAAAAGTTCTGGTTAACAATTTAATTAGCAACTCTAACATATCTATTGGCATATGTTAGTTGAACCTACCAATCTAACATTATAGTTACCAAGATGGGGAGACCTTACCGATAGTTCTGCAAAACCTCGTGTAAGCGTACAAACTTTGTAAAATAAGTTGGTCGTTCTTCAATGTGGCATAAAAAGGGATTGCTCCCCATCGTGCATGAAACCCACTTCGGATCCACGTGGAAGTCATTGAACGATGTCTGCACCCTAGCCCTCTTGCCTCGCCTCAGACCATCTCCTTCATCACCAATTTCGTCAACGGGGTCATCCCCATCCCCATTACCTTCAGCAGCCCCATCCTGGCAAAATCAATCATATTAACAAGTCACAACTCACATCGTTGTTACACCTGTATGTTATCAGGTACACCTGTAGTTATCTTAGTTAATATAGATCGTAGGCAGCTACAGCTCCTATAATGCGGTTATTTACGATTGTATATGAAAATCAAAAAGAGTAACTGTGATCCTAATCTTATAACGTACTTGTCTCTCTTCCGGGCTCTCGTTGCTTTCGCCAGCTTCTGAACTCAGACCTCCAACTCCTTCGCCCTCCTGCTGCATATCCGTCTGTTGTTCGGTATTAATATTGTTAGCAAACGCAATTGCGTCATTTATAACTACATCCGCTTGGACCTGTTGCCGTGTCTGGTGATTTGTAGTCCTTGCCCCTGTTCGTGCTGCATCGCCTTGCCTCTCCGCGTTTCCACGAGCCGTAGATCTATCTCTTTCAGTGTCGTGTCTGTCGAATTCCGAAACAGACTTGCCTAGAAAACCAATAATGTTGGATATTACTTGTTCTTGCATTAATGTAATCATCCGTTCCATAGCTGTCTTCATCACAGTGCCAAGAGTGGACAAATTGGTTTCAATGGTCGATATCTTGTCGACAGTGGCTGCCACCTTTAGCTCAACTGGAGCTAGCTCTGCCTTTACCGTGGCAGACAAAAGTTCAGCTATGTTGGCGGGAGCAGTCGACGACGGACCAGCGGCACCAAGATTGGTTGCATTTTCCTGGGCCTTCTCTTTCTCCCTCTCCTTCCGCTCCCTGATTTCCTTCCTCTCAAGGCGCATCTTCGCCAACTCAGCCTGAGACAAACCACCCTGAAACATGTTTTTGCGGAATTCAAAGTTCTCCCCGATGAGGTTTACCATATTATCAACCCTTGGATCGTCTTCCTCGTCAGACCAGCTAAAGTCTGCATCCTCCATTGCAGAATCTGAATCGTCGGGGATAATGCTAAAAACCGAGACCTGTGTACAAAAAGTTGCATCGTTATCGCGAATGTTAGCCCGATCATACAGTTGTTAAATGATAAAAAGTTTGTTACATTGTAAATGTTAAAGTTAACGGGCAAGATATTACCTTGCATCCTTCGTCGATCTCCCTTGCGTGACTTGGGCTTAGTCCGACATTCGCCGACTCTGTGTGTGTCGAAGGCTTCCCAGCGTTTTTCTCGGCATCACCAGCAATCGATTGCTCATTTGAGGGGTTCTCCGGCATGTTGGCTGGGGCAACGTCATCGGACTCTCCCTCCTCTTCGTCTCCTTCAGATTCTGATTCCGAGGAAGACTCATTCAATTGAACTACTTCGGTTTACGATGGACATGCCTCCACCAACACTAACTGTATCGCGTGAAAGAAACCTTTAACCGCTACCGTGCTTTGTGCCAGTGCAACTTCATCTTTAGATTTGATGCTAGACATCAACATCTCAAAACCCAGTCTGCCCCACGGGTGTGCGAAAAACTCTTCGATGCTTCTAATCAATTCCACGTGTTCGGCAACAATTTTGGATCTATGATTGGTGGGGCACAAAACTGCGCCGGTTAAAGCAAGACAGGCATACTTCAGTCGCGTCTCGCGGTCAACAACTGTCTTCTTCTTCAACATTTTCACGACCGATTCGATGCTGCATGTCTTCAGATTTCCAAATAAGTCCGGCCAGTATGGCTTCTCCCGAATGGGGTTTCTCTTCTTCTTCTTCTTCTGCTTTTTTGGGTACTTGCCGCACGGAAGTCCGGTGACAATCGCAAATTCTCGGAGAGACACTCTAATCGGGCGCCCGGCGAAAAGAATCCATATTTCGTACTTTTTACTAACCTTGAGCAACCTCGTGATGATGAAGTGGCCGAAACTCCCGGAAAGGGAGGGTTTTTCCGCAGTTGCGATTAGTTTGCCAAACGGAGATTTTCGCAGATAATCCTTCTCCTCTTCGTCCAATGCGCTAAGGATGTTGTTAATCGCCTTTGATTTGTGGTAGCAATTAACCCTTTCACCGACAGGTTCTTCGCCGGCGGTGAAAATTCTGTCCGGTAATGATAGCTCCATCTTCTTTACTCAATCAGTGCCCTGCTCTCGCGTTTTTGTACAGACCCCGGAACTGAAAAAAATGGGCTAGGACAAATATAATTTGCAACCGAAACGCCGTATCGGTTGACCGAAAAATAAAACGCCGATTGGAATTTTACCCCGATAAAATATTGAATTTGAACAGTATTTCCATTAATGCAATACCTTATCGATATTTTATGAGAATATCTGACACATTCATAGGTGTTCGCATAAATGTATAGGGGCTAAAGGGTATTAAAAAAAATTGAACAGTGTCATTTTTTACCTTTGGTCATTTCTACAAATACTGATGGCGGGATGATCGTTCTGTATAATTATTCTATTTTAAAACTGATTATTTGTTTCCCATTACAGTTTTTAGTATGTGCAGATAATCTGAATAAATCTAGTCAAATTAGTCAAATTTCAAATCATACATACATCATCTATAATTTGTTAACAATCTTTAACTAGCATGAATTTGTGTGGAATATCATCTAGTCAATATTAAAGTGAAAATGTATGTCTTTCCCATTCTAAAATTGCATATTCCGTAAGACAAAATGAACACAAAAAGCCAAGATTAAAATAACAATGAAAATTCAAAAGCATAAATAAGATCTATCTAGTAGCTTTTGGACAAAAAGAGGATCTATCTAATACCTATCTACATCAGGTGAGGACCACACTTTGTCCAAGTTTACAAATCTCTCTAAGAAATTAATTGCAGAACTCAATGAGTCTCTTTATAGATGATACAAACAAGACTCAAACGACTACTTGATCAACTAAACATCATCAACTATTTCCAAATAACTAAATTACCACGTCTCTATTGCTCACTCCAACAACAACTAGAGCAAAAGAAACTGATCTCTATTAAAGAAACTAATCTATATTGCACATTGATTTTTCCAAGTTCCAACATTTTCGTGAAACGTCAAGGTCACGTCAAAGATTAATCTTTAACTACATGAATTTGTGTGCAACCATCACCTAGCCAATTATTAAACTTCACATTTATTTTCTGTTTCGCATCCAAAATGGCATATTCCTTAACACAAAAAGCCAAGATTAAAATAACAATCAAAAGCATAAGATATAATTAAAATTTATCACATCATGAGGACCGCACTTTGTCCAAGTTTACAAATATCTATAGAAAATTGATTCTAGAACTTAAACTTTTTATGACCATCAACTATTCTCAGATATCTACAATTGTCTCTATTGCTCACTCCAACAACACAACAACAAGAACAAAAGAAACTGATCGTAGTATAAAAAAGACGGTAACTTTCCGACAACAAAGCAGTGACAACTAAGATCACGATTCTTGTGGTCCCTCTCTTAAGGAAACAGTTCATGATAACAACAAATCTTCTTTGTGTGTGTTTATGCTAAATCTCTATAATTAAGCTTTAATTAAACAAGCAGGCCTTACTTTGCAAATCTCAACATTGAAGCCTGATTCCAAGAGAAGCAGAAGCCAAGCTCGTTGCTGTTCTGATAATCTATCCTTCTCTGATTTTACTTCCACAAGCTTAGCTTCACCTTCATAACCATTCTCCTTGAACCGCCATAGCAGCAGATCAGGCATTCCACTGCACCAGCTCCTATAGTCTTGAGCTAAATACCGGCAAAGAGATGCTACACACTTACCTCCAACACAAGCCACTGCTGCTCTCAGTTCCTCCAACGAAAACCTCTCCCAATTCACTCCTCTGCAGGCTGTTCCACAGTGTGTTTCATATGACATGATAAGTATTTCTTCAGCCATTCCGTTTGCAACTTTCTCGAGCTGTGACTCAATTGTTTCCTTCCTGCTTAGGTAGAAGGATTCGGTCTCTAAGTCCAATGGAGCAGTCTACACAAAGGGAACAAAAGACACAAATGAGGACTTTCGTTTTTGGTGTACGGAACAACCAGTGAGGTTTCCATTCAGTGGAGGTATGAACCTGGAATCGGGTTTGGAAAACGCCCGGGACATTAGAAAACAGAATGTCCCACATTAGAAGCCCAAAAATGGTTAACCAGATGCTACTCTCTGTATGAATTCCTTGCCATCCTCCTCCTTCTCCATTGTAATACTGCAATGCGAGCTGCTCGACTCCACATTGTTCTCCGTCTCCTCCATAGAATCTGTTTTTCATGCCAATTTCACAATTCAGTGATCTCCCCTGAATGGTAACCTGAGAACACAAAGTTGCACATTTGAGGGCAAGGTAGGAAGAGAAACTGGATATTTTTTTCTTCTTTTTACTTTAGAGTAGAAGAACAAACCTCAGGGATTTTGTTTTCGATGAGATTTGAAAAGGTGGGAGTTTTCCAGCGTCTTGGAGGTTTTGCCAGACGAAGAATGCGTCTTTGCAAAGCTATTCTTGAACCAGCACGCACCCAAGGATCCAATAGTCCCTGCTCTGCTACTGATAGACTCTCATTTGGACGTCCCATGTGCTCCAAATCTGTTGATAACCTAACTGTCCAGTATCCTCGTCTCCCATCACAATTGAAACAACTGAGGAACCGCCTCAGTAGATAAACTGCTTGGTTATACCTGAAGCCAAAGAAACAAGTTTCAACAGGCAAAAAGACAGATAATCTGAACCAAGTAAATATGACGAGATTGGTTGTTTTCACATGCCTCTTTTGGTTCTCAAAAAAGGAAACTCCTAAAAGAACCACCTTTGAGTAAACCCATGGAGCTGTAAAGCAGTTAAATGCGGCTAGAAGCGGAGATTCTGAAGAAGAAGAACTGGATATGCGGGTTTCAGCAATCATGATGCATTTCAACACTGTCTGAGAATCTTCATTGTCAAGAGACTCATCCATCAACTGAGCCACTTCAATGGCCTGTAATTGAAGCTTTGAGATATTGTAGACAAACAAGTCCGGTTCCTTTTTTTTTTTAAATATAGACAAGTATATACCTCTTCATATTCTAAAAGTTTAGTCCGATTTGAAAATATATGATCTGAGTCAATGCATTTGTAAGTTGGGTATTTGATAATACCGAGATCCAGCAGAACAAAAGAGGATAGATCTTGCTCTCCATTGAGAAAGAAAAGCCTCTGCAACATAAAACCAAAGTTTTTTCTTCTAGTCCTTGAATAAAAGTCGGCTAATTTCTGAAACTATAAAAACCAAATATTTACCTCAACACGCCATATGAGTGATTCAGCTGTACTCGATATTTTAGCACATAATCCTGTTCTTTCAAGTATCATTGCTCCTAGATTTTTCCTAAAGTGTAAGCAAAACAACTCAGCCTCAAAGAAAAACAGAACCTGGTAAGGAAGGAAAGAAGCTTTAAATATCTAACTAAAACGAAAACGGACCTCGTTCCATCATTGTAACAAGAACAAAGTGAATTAGTAAGGTCTCCCTTTCTTGAGCCGCGACTGAACACCTGGACTACCAATAAAGCACACCATATTGTAAGCAAACCAATAAGAGAACCACATCCAATACTTCCGATAAACAGAGCAAGCATCTTCAAGAAAGTGGTCCAACCTTGTTCATAGATAAGATTTCACGAAGTTCAGTGACGTTAAGCAACTCTATGATCCCCTTCATCTTTTGGTAATCTAGTTCATCTTCGTCCTTCACTGAACTCATAAATCCGCTGACTGTATAGCATATAGATATAACTTTTTCTAACATGCTCAGAATATTTCAGCAACTAGAAGACGTTAGTGTTGTGTGTGTGTGTCTGAACGTGCTCAAGCCCATATCATTTACCTGTTAGGTCCTTCAGGGCTTGAAGAGAATCAGACACCTCGGGGTATGAGATATTTGATAGCCTGAACCAAGGTCCTGAACGAATATGTGTCCGACCAGTTAGAATAAAAAGTATCATAAGGTGCATACGAACCAACGTCAATGAATCAAGCAAGAGTGTTCCCTGGAATTGGCTTGTTTCCCAAACACTACAAATGAGACCATATAGCTTTACAAAACCTAACATCATTCTAACCTACTCCATCAATAGCCCAGAATGTAGATAGATAGATAACAAAGTGTCAGATACTAATGAAGGCATACAAATAGGGAAAAAGGAACACCAAATTCTTGAGGATGTCAATTGTTCAACTTTACTTCATAGCAGTTTGTCTAGTACCATTTACACCGTAATGAGAGCAAACAAACAAAACTAGAAGGGGTAATGCCACAAAGGAAATATAAGAAAATAGACACCTTTTCGTGTGTAGAGACGGATAAAAAGTCTCTGGCTATCCTCTGAAAGAGAGGGGAAAGATTCTGTAAACCAAAACAAAGAAACACGAGTATAGAAAAGTAAATCATTCATTCCAATAACATCAAGACAAATACTGGGAAACAAATCTGAAGAAATCATAGATGAATACCCAAGAATGATTTTTCATCGGCTGTGAAAAGGTGAGAGCAGCTTCGTAGAACCTCTTGAACTAATACGTTGAAGTTCAACTGGTATCTTGTCGTTTTAGGCGGAAATAGCATCTGATGCTCAACAACCTGAAGAACTTTCTCCCAAAGAGGTTTAACATCTCCAGCGAATTCACATTCCTTCCAGCCATCAGATGTCATCTTGTGACAAAAAACATTGATCGGAACAGCTTCAGAAGAATTCTTCGGAACAGATGTTATTGTTCCCTGCAAAGAATGTGTGGCTACATCATATGCATCTGATGTTCTATATCTCAACTCTTCAGCTTAACAAAAAGACGTAAGAAAATCAGTCACCAACCTCAAACTTAAGGTCATACTTGTCGATCAGCGGGGACAAGCACTGTGAAACATCTTTAGGTAGGTACCCAAGTATTTCAGACAACCCAGAGTCTGCAGAAAGAACCTAAAGTGAAAGCACAAATTCAAACGCTTCAGGCAAATACATAAAGAGACCAGAAATTCACACACACAAGAAGACAAGGTTAAACCTTTATAGCGTTGCGATCCTTGATGTTCTCAGGGTGTCTCAAAAGACAGATTTTGCCCCCAATTTCTAAATCCTGAACATCACTGAACTTCCTACCAACTATAAAGGTCTGTATAGCTTCACCACCATTAGCTTCATCTAAAGTCACAGTTTTTGAAATCTCCTCACTACTTGGCGAACATGAGTCATCATCATCAACCTTGCAGCAAAGTGAATCACTAGGCTCGCTTAATTCTACAAAACTGAATTGAGAAGTTTCGGAAACTTCCGATTTTTTGGACCCTGACAAGAAATTTGACTGAAGAAGAGTGGTCTGAGTTAGTTTCCGTTTCTTCTTCGAGGATATACTCAGATTCTCTGGGGAAAAATGGAAAGTTTGTTAAATTCAAAATCCCTAAACGAAGATGAGCATTGAGCAAAGACAAAACCATTCTGAAAACCCACCAGAGATTTTGCTCGAATCAAAGGGAGAAGTCGGATTCTCCGAGAAACGACCATCATCTTCGGCTGCTGAGATGAGATTGCCGCCATAGTCGTTGACCTCGAGATTCAACGAATTCTAAGGGTAATTTCAGATAAAGGGATTAACTTTATTGTTATATATGGGGAGAAATTCGAGAAAGAAGATGGATTTACCGGAATAGGAGCGGAGAGAAGATGGTGGCGATTGGGAAGAGATCGTCGGCGTTTTCCAACCAACCGAAGCAAGCTCTCTCGTCCGGTTAACATTTCCCGCGTATCGACGACGACGACGCGGGAAATCTTTAGATTTGCGCCACACTTTGCCTTTTCAGTTTTGCCATTTAATATTTGTTTGTCGGAGATACTTTTTCGACATTTTCTTTGGTTAAAAATAAGAAAATTCTCATTTGAAAAAAAAAAACTGACATATACTACAATTTTTTGAAAATATTCAGGAAAATAAAAATTAGAACTCAAAAATCGTGATAAGGAAAAGGTTAAATTTTGAATGAAGTATCCATATGATTTTTGATTTAAACGAATTCATTTCATAGCTTATAACTTCTTAAGTACTCTTTTTCACATCTCTTTTTGAAACCCAAAAACAAGACACTTAAAAATGATTTCAATCAACAAGTAACAACACTTTTCAAAGAGGAAAACTTGAACATTTCAATGAGAGTTCTCTACATTCATACTCTGTTCCTCAGAAATCAAGAAAGCAAATGGTGTTAAAACTGAAGACCGTGTTCACGAGCTGCAGCGGCAAGAGCCTCAATGCGTCCATGGTAAGGGTAGCCACCACGGTCAAAGGCCACCTTTGTGATCCCTTTCTCCAAGCAAGATTTTGCTATCACTTCCCCAACTTTCTTTGCTACCTCCTAAACTCAATACCCAAAGCATTTCAACCATTAACGAGGACTATCAGTGAAAGAGGAATCGACTTAAAATGTGTGCTAAAATGGTTACTAAAGATTCATCTCTCTACCACCAAATTGATTACTTGAAAAAGTCACTTACAATGGTAGGTCCAGAGGTGTAATCGAAGTCCTCAGAGATAGGTTTCTGCTTGGTGGAAGCTGAAGCTAAAGTGTGCATCTTGGTATCATCAATCACTTGTACATAAAGATGCTTGTTTGATCGAAATACACACATCCTTGGCCTCTCTGTTGTGCCGTTAACCTATGGTCCCAGTGTATGAGTGAACAATAAAACAAGATTCATGGATCAAACTCCTAAAAAAAACCCTTTTTTCTCTGTTTGTATTTGTTACTCAATTGCCAGTTGCTGCAGCCAAACTTATAACAAAGTCTCGTTTTTTTTCCCAGTAATCAACATAAAGCTGGAGAATTTCACTATAAAATCTCCAATTTCATCGTAATTCCTACATTTCGATTCCTCCCAAAATTGTCCCAAGTAACAATTCAAAGACTTTCATCAAGAAATTCGTACCTTCTTACGGATGCGAGAATGGCGGGCGATTCTGTCTTCGCTACTGGTTTTGGTTTTGGATTCAACCACCAAAGACCGAGACTGAAGCGAAAACGACGACGAAGAAGACCATGGCTTAAGGAAAACGGCACGGCGTTGAAGTCCGCTTCCCAAGAACGCACTACGGTTAGTAATCAGGCTCATCGACCCACACCCGCTAACGCTCGTCATTGTTCCCTCTCTCTCTTTGGCTCACTCTCTCTGTGTTTTTTTTGCCTTATCCCCTTTTCCTTGCCGTATATATTTGCTTCATTTTATATTTTGGATCCTAACTTTCTTAAAGTTTTTAATTTCTTCACCATTATTCCTAAATTGGAAATTTTCAACCCTTTCTTAGTGGGTATTCTTCTCCAATACTTCTCCAATTGCCAATTTCTTCTTTTTTAAAAAAAAATTAGATATTCACTCTTGGTAAAGAGGTACAATACAAAGACTGAGAATTTTGTACAGAACTGAAAATAGAATGTGAACAAAGCCCAAGTATTTCATAATATTATCTAAAAAACACATAAACCTCGAACACAAAAAGAAAGAAACACATAAACCTCAAAACCAAAACCAAATCTATAAGCAACATTTTCACTCCTTCATTCGAAGTAGAAATGATACATATGCACTTGAATATTATTGAACTAAAGCAACCAATTAAACCAAAATTAACCAGCTATATATATATAGTCTCTACTCTCTAATACTACTTCCATCTTGGACTTGTAGAGAACTCCATATGCTTATGAACATCCATGTAAATCTTGAGATCTTCATGTGATTCGAAGGGTTTCTTAAAAAAAAAAAAAAAATTTGAAGACCTGAAAGGCTTCGTCTGAAAGTTGCAACTGCGCTATGACATATGAGCTATCACCCGCAGATTAATAAATATAGCCTAACTTTTTATTTTGTAGACATACAATTGTGAGCATGTCTCTGAAACGTGAATGATCTTTAAAACTTAAAACATACAATTGTAGACATACTACTTTTGATTAGTCTCTTGTTTATCTCAGTTCTCATTGTATTCATGTTCTCTTTGACTTGTCTCTTAGTATTCATAAATTGTATTCCTATATAAGTTAGATCTCATGACTAATAATATTCTTCCTATTCCATTTCTCTCATCATCTCAACATGGAAGGCTTTTAGTGAATTATGACATCTCTCATCCATAATTAATTGTAATCATCATAGACTCATAGTGTGTGGTTAATCGCATTACGTAAATTTTGATATAATGTTCTTGCATATGAGCAAGAACAGAGCCTCTTCAAGTTTTGCAGGTTTTTACTTTTAGGTTTTCAAAGAACTGGTGAATGGTAATCAAACGGGACAGAATCAAAGTAAACAATGAGAAAAAAAAATTAAAAAAAAAACAAATAAAATTGCATAAATTACGTGTCATACTAAGGAAACAAGAAAAAAAACCCAACAGACTGTTATAAAGACATTTTGACTCTTTAAATGTGATTCAGGAAGGTATCGAGCAGATACGTACGTTGGCATTGAAGTCCCTTATTGAAGAAAGTTTCATCATCGTCGTCTACCATGCCTTTAAATTCGAATCTTCTAAAGCTGTTTCTCACCGGATCATAAAATAAAATATATAAAGATTTACTAAACACGGACGGTTCAAAAACAAACTCACCAGTATGAGTATAACCTTTTAGACTGAAATAGTCTTTCAAAATCTCAAAGTGACCAAAAGGTGAAAGAAAGTCTTGACTCGACCACTTGTGTTTCTCTGCATCCTCCAAAATCCACAATCTGTTTTTGCTCGATGATTCATCAACACAAGCTAACCTTCCCCTGTAATTTATTAGCATACCCCAATGAATATGGGATGATAAATCTATCATTCCAAATTTTTCAATTCTGACATCAAAGCTCATTACAACCCAAGCCTCGACTCGATAATATATAACACCGTTGATGCATCGCCCTGAACGGAAGCAATACTGATGCTTATGGTTAGTTTTGACAGTTCTCCATGATTCTTGAGTTGATCCCAATGTTATAACTTGGCACACATCGCAACTTCTGCTTGAAGGAATGCACATTAGTTTGTGTTTACCTTCGATTGGATCATATCCTAAAAACATTGCTATAGTACACTCCCAGTTCTCTCTTAGTCTAGGTAAGGTTAAGATCTGTCTCTTGTTAGGGTTCCAAACTATCGGCTGTCCTGATTTATCTTGAAAGCAGATCAAGCCGTTCACAGATTCCGTATAGAAGATATTGGAAGAAGTGTGTTTGGTATTAACAGAGATACAGCTTATATATACAAGGGATTCTTAGGGCTTCCTACAGCATTTACAATCGAGATCTTTACATATAAGGAAAGAGTATCATTCCTTTACATGCCCCCTCAAGATGGAGGGGACTTTGACACTCCAATCTTGGACGAGAAGGTTGTAAATGGAGCACGAGCAAGCGGTTTGGTCAGGGCGTCTGCGAGTTGATCTTTGGTGGATACATGAGCTACACGAAGTTGACCTGCGATTATCTGATTGCGGATGAAGTGGTAGTCCAGCGCTAGATGTTTCATACGAGAGTGAAACACCGGATTGGCACAGAGGTAAGTCGCGCCGACGTTGCCGCAGTAAATAACCGGTGGTGAGGAGAAGTGGACGCCGAGTTCATCGAGTAAAGAACAGAGCCATCGAACTTCGGCGGAGGTGTTGGCTACGGATCGATATTCAGCCTCCGTTGATGATCGAGCTACTCCTTTCTGCTTTCGAGACGACCAGGAGACTGGGTTCTTGCCCATGTAAACGATGTAAGCTTGTGTGGATACGTAGTCATCTTGGTCCCCTGCCCAGTCCGCGTCAGAGAAAGCGTGGAGGTTGTTGGTGTTGCTTTTATGGAAAAATATCCCATGAGAGGTGGTCCCTGCGAGGTAGCGAAGAAGACGTTTCACCGCTTGCCAGTGATCGGTTGTGGGCCTATGCATATACTGAGACAATCGGTTGACTGCGTAGGAGATGTCGGGCCTGGTGAAGGCAAGATATTGGAGACTTCCGACTGCGGCACGATATTTGGTTGCATCAGGTAAGGCGGAGCCAGAGTGGAGAGACAGCTTAGGGGAAGTCGCCATGGGTGTGGTGACGGGCTTAGCTTCCAACATGTTGCAGCGAGTGAGAAGATCAATAATGTAGCGACGTTGAGTGAGATGTAGACCTTTGGCTGTGCGATGAGCTTCGATGCCGAGGAAGTAATTGAGGTCCTCTGGATCCTTGATGGAGAAGCGGTTGGCGAGAGCGGTAAGAGTTTGTTGAATCAGGACGGTGTTGTTTCCGGTGACGATGATGTCGTCTACATAGACGAGAATGTAGAGAAGATGATGTGCACGTTTGAGGATGAACAAAGAAGCATCGGCAAGGGAGTTAACGAAGCCGAGGGAAAGGAGGTATTGCCGGAGTTCCTGGTACCATGCGCGTGGCGCCTGTTTGAGGCCGTAAAGGGCTTTGTGAAGACGACAGACGTAATCGGGTTTGTTGACATCGACGAATCCTTCTGGCTGATTGATGTAGACTTCCTCCGTCAGTGTTCCTTGCAAGAAGGCATTGTTCACGTCGAGTTGCTTGATCGGCCAGTCTCGGGTGACAGCTACGTCGAGGATGACACGGATGGTGGATGATTTTATCACTGGACTGAACGTTTCGGTGTAGTCTACTCCTTTCCGTTGATTATAGCCTTTTGCCACCAGCCTAGATTTGTACCTGTGAACAGAACCATCAGGAGAATATTTCAGTTTAAAAATCCATTTGGTACCAATAATATTCTGATTGGGGGCCCGTGGAACTAGAGTCCATGTGTGGTGGCGAAGTTGAGAGTTGAACTCGTCGGAGACGGATTGACGCCATTTCTCATCAGAGAGAGCTTGGATGATTGTTCTGGGTTCAAATTCCGTCGATTTGGCAATGGTGAGGGCATATCTCGTATTGGGTTTGCTAATCCCGTGTTTGGCTCGAGTTCGCATTGGGTGATTGTTTGTGGCAGGTATTGGTAATGGTTGCAGAGGCGCAGAGGTGAGTGGTATCGGTTGGGATTGGAGAGAAGACTCGAGGTGCAGGTTTGGTGAGTGGGCTTGGTTGGTATTTAGCTGGGCTTGGGTTAGAGATTGTTGGGCTTGGTTTGTAAGGGATTGGGCTTGAGTGGTTGGGCTTGGGTGTGGTATTCTATTGGGCTCAGTTTCTGTTGGGCCTGGGGAGGAAGAAGAAGAATGGGATATGGGAGTTGTCAATGACGGAAGCTGCTCGGAGGAGATGATGTTTGCTGGCGGCGGAGCTTGTGGTGGAGACACGGGCGGGTGTGATGACGCTGAGGCGTGTTGTGGCGTTGGAGTGGTGACTGGTGTGGTGTCAGTCAGCACTGGTGGTGAAAGATCCGATGGTGGGGGCGCCGCCGTTGAGGAGTCTACGAGTGGCGGTTGTGGAGGTGGAATGAGCGTCGCCGGTGGAGTCCAAATCTGAGTATCCAGGACAGATGCAGACGGCGGTGATGATAGTGATGAGAAGGGGAATTTTGTTTCATCGAACCGAACGTGACGGGACGTATAAATCCGACCAGATGTTGGATCGAAACACAGATAGGCACTTTGAGTCAAAGAGTATCCCAAGAAAACACAAGGAGTGGAACGAGTTTCAAGTTTATTGGAGCGATATGGTCGTAACCATGGGAAGCACAGGCAACCAAAAATCTTGAGTTTGGCGTAATTTGGTTCGGTACCGAACAGAAGAGTGTAGGGAGAGGAGAGTTGAAGGACAAGAGTAGGAAGGCGGTTGATGAGGTATACAGCGGTGGAAAAAGCGTAAGACCAATAAGTATTTGGAATGTTGGCGTGGTGGAGCAAAGATAGACCTGTTTCAACGATGTGGCGATGACGACGTTCCGCCAGACCGTTGTGTTCAGGAGTGTGGGGAGGGGAAGTGAGATGAGTGATTCCGGAGTTGGCCAGAAAATCACGGAGGACGACGAATTCTCCGCCATTATCAGAGAACAGGGTCCCAATTTTTTGCTGAAATCTGTTCTCCGAGAGGGCTTTGAATTTGATAAAGGTTTCTTTGACATGAGACTTTAATTTTAAAGGGTAGAACCAGGTGTATCTGGTGAAGTGATCAACAATGATCAGATAGTATTTGTAGTGATCGATAGAGAGGATAGGGGAAATCCATAGATCTGTAAAAAGGTATTGGAGAGGACGAGAAGATGAAATTGAAGTTTGAGAGAAAGATAATTTATGACTTTTATTTGAAAAACAATCGATGCAGGACAAAGGTTTTGATAAAGAGTCTGAAAATGGTAAAGAGAAATTAGAGATAATGGTTTTAAGAATGGGAAAAGATGGATGACCCAGCCTTGAGTGCCAATCTGTCACAGATGTCTTCACGGTTGGTGTCGCGAAGTATGATGTTGCTGCTGTCTTTGGTATTGGCCACTCGTAGAGCTCGTCTTTAGTACGTCCTTGGAGTAACGGGGCCCCCGAATTCAGATCTTTCACCTGAAAGAATGCCGGAAAAAATTCAACAGAGACGCGGTTAGCATTACACAGCCGATAAACCGATATAAGATTCTTTTTAATTTCTGGGACATATAAGACATTAGTAAGTGATAAAGGTTTGGAGTTAGAAGAAAGAGAAGTGGAACCGGTGTGGGAGATTGCAAGACCCGAACCGTCACCAATGAGAACTTCGTCACCGCCGGTGTATGGTTGGTGCAGCGACAAGTTTGCTAGGTCCGAGGTGATATGGTGGGTGGCCCCGGTGTCAAGTATCCACGGGTTGGAGCTTGTGTTTGTGGTTGCGATGTTTGCTCGAGGAGCCCAAGGGGCTGATGGTGCTGACGGGGTGGGGAGAAGGCCGCGAGCAGACGAGGCATGTAGCTGAGGGCACCGTTTTGCGGAGTGACCCTGCGTACCACACAATTGACACCTCCCTTGGTAAGGTCGAGATCCGCGGTTACCATCATTGTTGCGATTGTTGTTCCACGTTTGGTTTTGACGATGATTTCCTTTTGAATTGTGAGGCTTGCTTGTGGTTGACTTGTCGGTGTAATTGGCGGTGATAGGAGAGGACGGCACTTGAGTGGCTTGAGAGGTTGTGAGAAGCTTGGCCTCATGAGTGAGAAGCTTCTCATGGAGTTCAGTGATAGTTGGCGCTGCATCACGGCTTTCGGTTTGGTCGATGATCGCTTTGTATTCTTCCGGAAGACCCTGAAGAATGTAGTCCACTTGATCTTCATGATCGATGACCTTACCGAGAAGAAAGGATATCATTTTGGGAATTCTATTTGATAACGATCAAGTATTGGTTGAGAACAAGAGTAAGAAGACTCTTTAGAGACTTGACGGTGTTGCAGAATGGAGTAAACAAACAACGTGCCATCTTTTTCGAAGCAGACTAAAAGACTTAGCTGCAGGAAGGACCGAGTTTCGAACGACTTGATGAAATATGAATCGGTGGTGATTGATGACCAAAGCTTTGGTACGCAACGAAACCTAAAAACAGATCTCGCAGGTAACCTTAAGAGTATCTCTGAGGTTAGTTCGAGAGGAAATGACAAAGTTGATTTTGGTTTTGTTCTTCTTCTTCTGTAGACGAGTCTTTGTTCTTCTGTAGCCAAGTCTTCCTTCCTTGTTTCTTGTTCCTCCATCTGTAGAGGAAAGGACAGATTAATTGATCTCGATTGTGTTCTTCTTTTTCTGTAGACTTTTATCTTTTTATCTTCTTCTCTTCTTGTTGCTCCATTTTTGTTAAAAACCTTAATTTTCTCAAGCTGCGTTTCTATCCAACAGATACGTCATATGTTCTAGTTTTTTTTTTTGGTCGAAAGTTCTACTTTTTTTTTAGTACTAATTTATATGTAAATAATATGAAAATATTTAGTTATTTTTAATGTAAAATGGACAGAAGAAACGGTGGAGATTTCATAGGATTATAGAAAGAGAAGTTAGAAACAGTGGCCGGAAAATTGGCCAATTCAGACCTAAACTTTTGGAAAGTTTTAAAGTTAGGCTTGAACTATTTTTCTGGTTAAAACATACTTAAACATTATGTAGTGTGCTTTGTCATACTTGAACTCTGTTAACATTTGAAAGGCATTCTTAATCTTTGGTATAGTTTGAATTTCGTACTCCATATTTATGCTTTGTGCTAAAACCAATTTCCAACATAACTCTGTTAAGTTTTCTGTCAAGCTGTGGTCTACGTGGCGGCCACGTAAGTGACGTCGTTGTTTAAGGTTTCTTTAGTTTTTTTGGAAAAAACGTGAAAACGATGTCGTCTGTTCCTTAACTTGGGGAAAACAATTCTATCCCGCGACACAACCTTTCATATTCTTTTCTTCTTCGTCGAAACAAAGTAACAGAGCGATCATCACTTAGGGCTTGGAGAAGTGAGTTTTGAAGTGGTGTAAGCTTTTGATTATTGCATAGAGCTTGGAGATATGAGGTAAACTTTGAGTTCGTGTTTCTTCTTTCTATTTTTGTATCGATTAGCTAGGGTTTAGAGTTTGAGTTATAATGTTATTTGATGAGAGGCTTTGATTAGATCGCTTTATGGTTTAGGTTTTAGATACGGTATTGGTTCTAAATCACTATCTAATATCATTGCGGCAAGAGATATAATTTTTGACTCTGAAAATCTGTTAACTCTCGTTTCAGTTCCGAGGAGGCTGTGTTTCAAGTGCATCACAATGAGAAGTTCGTGATGTCAATGGTAAACGAAACGACATACATTGGAGGAGAGGTCAACACGCTCATAAGCCGTCCAGCCTCCATGTTTGAAAATCTGGTGGATTCATTGAAGATTTCTTTGAGCGGACAGCGGATTTGGTTGGATTTTGAGACTCTTGTTATTGCTTCTACTCTGATTTTTGGTTTTCTTTTTGTTCTACAACGAGAATTTTGCACAATGAAACAAATTTGAACAACAGTTCAATACACAGTCGAACCTAAACCATGACAATGACAAAGATTTGTGTTGTCATTATCAATACACGAATTGTGGCTCAAACATGACAATGCCAAAGACTAGAACAACACATAATCGTTATTGAAAATGCAAAAAACACTACAGATAATCCTAATGGAAAATGTAAAATACGATCACACCCATTACCAATCCACTAACCATCACATTTTTAATGGAACTCATGACTGCATTAAGCTTTTCAATCTCATTTTTGCAGGAACAGACATCAGCTTTTAACTCTCCAATCTCCTTCTTAAATCCGGCGGCTTCTACCTTCAATGCTTCAAGTTCACGTCAAAAGCGTTCAACCTCTTCAACGATAGAAACATCTGTCCACTTGAACAGATGATTTTTATCCTAACAACAATACAACATATTCGATTTATATGGGTCACTGACATCAAAATAAAGAACAAATTAATTAACAGAGACTATATATACATTACCTCCTTCGATCCATACGGACAACAATAGAATAGTCTCCCCGGATTTTGATATGTCTCCGAAGTTCTGATGTCTGTGCTGCTTGAAGGAGATTACTTCACAAAAAAAATTGACGTTAGTTATCGGATGAAAAAGAAAAAAGAAATCTACTCACAACGTAATACACTAACAAACACATAAGAGGGACAAATATTTAATTTACCCGAACTGCTAGAAGAAGACATCGAATACGAAAAATAATCCAGAGACTGAAGAATTTGATTTTTAAATCCCTAAGTCGTCGATATGTCAAGTATCGAAGGGTTGAAGAAGATATAAACGACATCACTTTATGTATTTTACTTGTTAAACTTGATAAGTCCAAAACGACGTCATCGCTGACGTTGATGCCACATATACGTGATTTAACGGATCGTTAACACCTATGGACGGAAATTTATTTAAACACAATACACATAGATTACGGATGAAATTCAAATATTTATAATGTTTAAGTATGTTTTAACCAGAAAAATAGTTCAAGCCTAACTTTAACACTTCCCAAAAGTTTAGGTCTGAATTGGCCAATTTTCCAACAGTAGCCATAAAACCTAATTAAATTTTTTGTGCAAAAAAAACTCATCATCTTTAATTATTTTGCAAGATTGACTCTCATCTTATAAAAATTAGGAGAGAATCCGCGCGTATGCACGGATCTTGTTTTAATTTATATTTTAAATTAATTGGTATTGAATTTTATGTTTACTATTAATGTTATTTTTTAGGTTATTTTGTTTACTATTAATGTTATTTTGTTTAAAATAATTATATTTTCTTTGATTTCTTTTTGATGATACATTATATGTAATTTCTTCTACACCAGTTGTGTCAAATAGTATAATTTTTCTCCCAAGATAATAAATGACTAAAAATCTACTATTTTAATTTTTTTTTATATGAAAACGTACTAGTTAACTTAAAAATATATGTTGAATATGAGAGAAATATTTATTTGTTCTTCGATCTATTCATATTCTTTTTATTCTTGTAAATTTTACTAATATAATACTTGTTACTTTTCTTAATTTACTATTTTGATTTTTTGGTTATATATATTTTATTGATTTCATCTTATTTTTTTTTTTAAAAACATGTATGGCATTTTTATGTGGATACCTTTCTTTTTGCTATTATTTTTTTAATATTTTTTTATCTTTTTAATTGTTTATTAAATATTCTTTGTGTTTTATAATTTTATTAGTTGGAGTTTTATAAAAAATTATTTGAAACTTCCTAACTTAATCAGTTATATTTTTTTTTTCACTTACATTAAAACTTAATTATATTTTTAATTTAAAAACGAATTTTAAAACATTTAAAAATAGAAAAAATGGTGCATTTAAAAAGTCTTGTATTATATAATATTTATAAGTTTTATATTTTTAAATCAAATTTAAATTTAATTCTAATATAAATATATATTAATATTTATTTATGTTCTTTAATGTGTTTGCTTTAAATTTTATTAATTATTTATTTTATTAATTTTTTTTGGAGATATATAACATTCTCTCCAGTGCTGACATATCACTCAATTGGAGAGATAGCCAAGTTTTATATATTAAATAGAGGTCAATATCTTTACCTTAAAAGTCACCTGCAATATAACCACTTGGTGAAATAAACGTTATATCGGTGACAGTTTTCAAAACACACTATTTCAGTCATTTGAATTCTCCTGCAAAATGATTTTATTAAAATTAATTGAAAAATGAAAAGAAAAACAAAAACGTGTATCCCTTCTTCTTCCTCTTCTCTTCTCTCTCCTTCTCTTATGCATCTAACTAAATAACAGATAATCTCAGGCAAACAAAATTAAAAATCAAACGCCTTTGTAAGTAGTTTACTCAAATCAGGTACAAACATCAATGATGACCACATCCCATCCGAATTTGTCGAGTAGACGAGCTTCATTTTGTTGGCTCGTAAAGCTTCAATTGTATTTGGAGAGACCAATTCCAAATTTATAAATAATTTATTTTAAAAATTAAGGGAAAAACGAATTGACACATATTATGTGAGAACAGAATCGAACTTCTTATGACTTTATTAATCAAACCCAGAAAAATTTGAGCAAATCAAAATCTAACAGCAACAAATTCACGGAAAGAAAAAAGATTTGAACCCATGACTTTGTAACCTAATCTGCATACAGTCTACCAATTAACATAGGTGTAAAAAGGTTTGATTCTCCATTATGCAGATATTAAGGCAATTGTTGATCAGATTCTGAAACCCTAACTTTTAAGAAAAAAATTAGCAAAATAAAATGTGTGCTGTTTAGCCTACAGTTTCAAAAACATCATGTTGTTTTTTGATATTGATGAAACGCTGCGTTTACATTCCGTGTGTTTTTTCACATATCTAAAAATGCCACGTCATCGATATATCAAAAGGTTATATTACGGGTGATTTTTGAGATGAGGATATTGACATGAATTTTTTAAAAGTGGTGATCTATCTTGCAAAAAAAGAGATTATAGGTTTTTTTGCACAAAACCTTTAAATTAAGGAATAACCAAAAAATAGAGTTTTTGCTAAAAATGACCTAAAACTTAATTTTGAAAATAAAAATAGACAACTGATAAAACATTTGACAAAAATAACCTAAAAAATAATGAAATGACAATATAATCTTGTATGACCAAACAAAAAAGGATGTTATAGTTACGGTTTAAATCCTGACGAAGTCTACTAAATACTGTTAAGACTGTTAGTAAACTTCTAACAAAGCTTATGAAATCTATTATGTAATTAAATCATACTAATAAAAAATAATTTTGGTTTCAAATTTGCAATCATAAATTAGATATGCGTAATTCTAATGTACATAAATTTCTGTTTTGTATTCATAAGTTTTTATATAATTTTAAATTAAAAAACAAAAAATTGATTTAGGATTTACGTTTAATAGACTTCAATATTGAAGTCGGCTAAATCGAATAACTTACTTTAATCAAAATTTAAACCAACAATAATTAACTGAACTGAAAATTTTATCCTAGTATATAAAGAAAATAACCCTAATTTTGTTAAAATATAAACCTTCCTGTTTCTAAAACGGTGCTGTGCTTCTCTCTCTCTCCTCCCTTGCGCCGTTAAGCACCGCCATCTCTCTCATTGTTAACCACCGACACCTCTCTCTCATCGTTAACCTCCACCGTTTTCTTGCGAATCTTCTTGTCAAGGTATGATGTG